TGGCTAGGTAGTACCCTAAAATCCCATAGATAAGAGCGGTCCATAGATAAGAGCGGTTTGTGCTAGAAAATGAAAATTGACGTTTGTATACGTTTTTTTGGCGTTGTGTGCTCATGATTATCGCAATAATAGCCTACAACTCTACCTTTATTCTTACTGTTTTCTATACTCTTTCTATCCTGTATCACCTGCTATGAAACGTCGTAAATCGTATACAGCAGCTTTTTTTCTATATGAAGCTGTTTGATTTAAGTGGGCGGGTTTAGAGCTTGAGGTCGGGAGTTACTTCTAAATTCTTCTCGATTTTTATTTACTCATCTTCAGGTTAGATGGGCCGGTACTGCATCTCCATTTCAAGTTCAGTTCCAATTCATTTTTCCACCGGGCTCAGTTAACCGCTCGTTATCTATGGGATTTTAGGTAATTGTGATGTCTAGGTAACTGTTAGGTGGTGACTCAGGCGGAAAGGTGGCGCCTGTCGATTCTGTGGTTCTGTGGAGTATTTAAGTTCGAGCTATTTTGGGATTACAAGAATTTATTTATCAACTGGCAATGTGACGGGTCGGATAGATACGTGGTAAATGTGTAATACTAAAATGCTACGATAAGTGGTCCACCGAATCTGTGCATCTTTGGTCAGCGAAGTCACGCTCAACATCTATTGTGCATATTAATCATCAACAAATACCGCTAATTTCAACGACTACCTACCTACATTACTTGAGAGTTCTGGTGGTGTGAGGGTTCTGGTGGATTACCACAACAGTAATGTGTACACTGCGTTAGGGTAAGCAAGCAAAAGAAGCTTTGGAAAAAATACTGTTTTGGAATCATGGGATAATCTGATATTACTAGAACGAATTCGAGCAGTCCGCATAGTGTAGGCCTATCCTCGAATTGTACTGCCGCCTTCTGTCAGATGAATTGTAGCCGAGTCCTTGCATCAAAGTCCAATTATCCAAGCGGATTGCTCTTATTTACAAATGTCACCGGAGTTTCGCAAGACAAACAGGGGCTAGCCTCGGACTATCCCCTTTAAGCGCAAACGTTGACTTCGGAATGCGTGAGGTAATCCTTCTTCTCTTCCTTGCCCTTTTCACCATATCGTTTGCGTTGGTTTCGTTTGATGCCACCGAGGAACCAGGTAAGAGTTATTCCTTCAATTTTACTCCTTGACGTTCTGTCAAAACTGCTTATTTTCAGAGGAAAACATTCCAATACCAATGGCTCGTTTGAGGAAGAAAGGAGGCAGAGGCGATGGTTCATGTACAGATGAAACCCTTCGAAAGATAATGAATGAGGTAAGAAGTGACCCTTATTAGCTACTATTCTGTTCAATTCTCCCTGTAAATTCTGTTAATTAATGTTTACTTTCCAAAACGTCCCGTTTTTCTCGTAAGAGTGGCGTCGGAGGGTGACGAAGAGCGGGGATGGGAGAGGGGGGGGGAGACCACTACAATCAATTTTGTGATGTAGTAGTTATACAATTGTTTTGCGGCTTCAATAAATTGGCAAGGTACACTCCGTATCCCAGAGATGGAGAGTCCGTGGCTGCGTAATTCATTTGGACGTGGCGGCACTTGCGCTGATGGAGGGATATAGCAGGTTCAGAACAGATGCCATGACTTCATATTCTACAAGAGAGGATAACACTTGTATCACATGGAAATACCCCATGAACAGGAGGCACCGTGTTCCAGTAATGTACGCAACCACGCCCACTCCGTTGCTGGGATGTGCAGTGTTTATAGAGCGACACACAAAATCGGATCCAGAACCGGAAGATTTACCTGTTTGCTTAAGAAAAAATCACTCTCGAGGCCACTAACGATCCCCTCCTCAACGACCGAGTATGTCCCCTCCACCCCGATGGAATTCTGCCATCGATGCTCTACTCTGATTGCCCCCCCCCTAATACGGAGGTCAGTAAGTGGCGTGCCAGTAAAGAAGGCGATTGACTCTCCCCGCCTATACGATGGACTGCGTTTTTGATGTTTTTTTTCATCCATTTTACCATTGAAAACTGTAGAGAATGGGATCGATTTCAGGCGATGGGCGATCAGATGGCCGAGACGAAACGAGCGGTTCATCGAGCAATCAGTCGAGCGTTTGATGGCAGTTTTGGTGTGATCTGCGCTGAATGCGGTTTTTCCTACATTGTTCACACTCATGAGTACTGTGTACATACCAAAAACGACATCACATGTCTTGTCTACAAAGACGGTTAATGTCCTCACCTATAAATTTTTCTTTTCGCTTTTCATTTGCCCACTCTGAAGTGGTTTATTGGCTCATGGGACAGTTCCGAGGAATTCTTTTCCATATTTATGACCTATTCATTTTTAAGTCATTTATAACGGGCTTCAATGAAATTGGATAGCAATGGAGCTTCGTTCGTCATCTTGACAGTCCTCGCGCTCGACCAATTTGAGAGCATCCTTCCTTATAGAAGTACGGAGGGGAGGGGGGGGGCAAAAAAAGGCACTTTTCTTCCTCGACTTTCAAGGCGATATAAGTTACACTTTATTAAATTCTGATTGGACATTTCCACCATCAAATTCAACAACACATTGTACACGATCACGAAACTCCGCCACAGCCTTCTGGACGAGCGCCATCGAGAGATTCTGCCACGCGACCGTGTGATTCGGTGCCTGAGTTCAGCGAGGTCGTTGATTTCTCCGCCACTGTAGACCACCCTGTTGAGCTCCGCTGAAACCCGGTAATCGAGGGGTTTAGGTCAGGTGACACACTTGGATATTCCGTCTTTTCAGGTTCTCAACGCCCTTATTCCAAGTAGGCGAGAGTTTTTCCAACGCCCTTCGATTCCATGTGTTGGCACCCAATCTGTAGCAGTACGAAGTTTCCAAGATGGTACAGGTGACGGCATGGAAGCAGGATACTCTTGAGTTAATCGATGTAACCGTCAGCGTTCACTTTCAGCCCAGGTCCGCGAAAGAAATTATGATCTTTTTCCACACAATATACGAAACTTCCGCTCCATACCAACATAACAAGTCGGCCAAGGAGGCTTGTAGTGTCTTGGCGAACAGCGCTGATATCCCTGGACCGTGACGCGACTGACTCGATGTTGGCGGGTTTTTTGTACAAGGAGTGCGGTCTCTAGGTAACGTGTCCGTGGGGATGACCCCATCAAGAAGTTTAATGAGCTGGTTTAGAGGGGTGACGTGAATTCTACAGGCTTCTTATAGTCCGGCTGTCGCACGACTGGATGCTTCAACAATTTTGGTGACATTGAAGGCTGACGGACCGACCCCTGCTCGTTGCCCATCGAAGACATCTTGGCGTATCTTCGCCTTGGTAACGGCCGGTCGTTCCATGCCTTTTCTTGGGGTGCGTAAATCTCAACGCGATCATATGACCGCTAAGCGTCTTTCTGCACCCCCCCCCCACCCTGTAGCTCTGGTCTCACTCTCTATAGATTATAACCTTCCGCGACTCTTACTTCTAGGTACAATGGAGGCGCTGAGCCCACATATGTGGCGAGTAGGACTGACACCTCTTGCTTACGCTCACCAGTAATCCAAAGGCTAAGCTTCTGTCCACAGCTCACTTTTCAACCCTGTTCTTCTTCATTTTTTTTTCGGCTGTAATGTGTATAGGAAATTCGATGGCCACGAGAAACAATTAGTGAGCCAGAGACAGGCAGACAGTCGCTTTCGCATCGCCGAAGGAGGGACGAAAAAAAAGTTCTTATTTCTCCCTTGACTTTACAGGCGCGCCATAAGTTACACTTATTAAATTGTGATAAAGAGGTTCCACGCACTGTATTCAACCAGCATTAGTGTACTATCATGATGCTCCGGCACAGCCTTCTGGACGAGCGCCATCGAGAGATTCTAGCCCGCAACCGCGATGTGGCGCCTGAGATCAGCGAGATAGTCGATTTCGTCGCGACCGTAAGACCACCCCCTGTTAGAGGCCTCTGCCCGAACCGGGTATTCGAGTGGGGTTTTTAGGTCAGGTGACACACTTGGATATTCCGTCTTCTTCAGGTACTCAACGCCCTTCCATTCCAAGTAGGCGAAAGTTTTCCAACGCCCTTCGATTCCATGTGGAGGCACCCAATCCTGTAGCAGTACGAAGTTCCAAGAAGGTACAGGCGATGACATGAAGGCAGGATATTCTCACGAGTTGGTCGATGTAGCGCTCACCTTCAGTCCGGGGTCCACGAAGAAAATATCGGTCTTCACATTCCAGGAACTTCCGGTCCATACCATCAACCCGCGCCTTGGCGACTGCGGTGAAGATGATATCCTAGACCGTAGCGACGTTGTCGGAGCTGCTCGATGTTGGAGGTCTTCCAGATCGAGTGCTGGTCTCCAGGTAGCTGTCCATGGGTGATCCATACAAGAAGTTCCGCAGCTGTTTGGAGGTGACGTGAATTCCATAGGCCTTCTCCAGTCCGGTTGCGATTGGAGATGACTTCATATTTTACATGAAGGTGATGGGCGGCAGCCTGCTCCTGCTTATCGAGGAACATCTTGGGTATCTTCCGCCCTGGTACTCGTATCCACTTCCTCTGTCTGGGCTGCGAAAACTTCGCTGATATGTGACTCGGCCGAAGTGACTTTTTTTGCCCCCCCTGTATGTAAAACTAGCAGATCCGTAGAACTCATACAGTGAGTTCTACGGATCTGCTATTTTACATACTCTTGATGAATATCCTGCCTGCATACTTGGAGACTTAGGTTACTTGTGTTCTTCATGACTTTTTCTTTTTTTCTCTGCTGGAGAGCCACCCAAAGAATGTAAGTTTGTGTTTGGGCGCGAGAACTCTCAATTTGCGCTCGCGTGGTTTGTCTCTATGTTTCGATTGTTGCTTCGGTTCCTCATGTCCGAGCGGATCAACTTCCCGATGTTGACGTTTCAGATTACATTCCCTATCAAACAGAGATTTAATCTGTAGAAAATGTAATTGACAAGAGGAAGGCTTGCTCTCTGATCACGGACACAGGACACGAGTTTGACAACCGGTCTAGAGGTGGTGGAGATTTACTCGGGAAAATGAAGACAAAGAAGCGAAGTGTTCAAAAACCAGTGTGGTGGCCCTGTTTTCATGTTGCTTATTAACGAGTATAACACACCAAGTGAGAAGCCCGTCTGCGTCGAGTTTTCCGGTGGCCCTCCATAACTGGTTTCCGTGGAGACGGCTACATACTGCTGTTGCTGCGTGCCATAGACCGCCCACTTGGACAGCATCTCATTGAACGGTACGATAGGGATCCCAAGTACTGTTCTCGTATCCCAGGAATTAACCGACGTGCATCCTTGCTAGAAGAGGCAACTATTCTCGACTGATTAGCAAGCCGTCTGCAAGTCTCTTTGACAGCAGCGCTGACAGAGAAAGTGAGACAAGACTTCTATGAATGTCCTTCTGAACGCAGGCTTTTCGCTAACCGCGTTTCCGCAGTACCCCATAAGTCTAGCCAGTTTATCGGCTCATAAAGCCTGGAAGCGTCACTTGAATTCCAGCGCCTATGCTGTTCAGAGCGCACTACATAACCAAAGACATTTAATGAACCCTCAAGGGAGTTCAGGAGCCTCAGCTAATACTGGGTTTTTGTGAATACCGGTGCTACAGTCCATGTATGAGGATGAAAGCGTGGCGTTTCCAGCGGAAGGTGGCGCCAGGGAGGGTACGCATTCACACTCCATATCAATGGTTGGAGAAGGCATGAGTACTTACACGCCCCAGAAAGGCAGAGTATCTAGTTGCAGGTATAAGGCTGGCAAACTATTCTTAGCATGACGCAGCGTTGACTGGCCAATCAATGCGCCGTTGTCAGCGGAATTTGGTAGAGGAGAACGGCGGCGTGAGACGCGTGCCCGTTTTCAGGCGTACTGGATAGGAGCCTATTTCTTACCCATATGACCTGCAAGATGTACCAATTATGCGTTTTCTTTCTCTCTTTGGCTTGGTCCAAATAAATTATTGTCATATTTTAATTATTTGACTGTCATAGTTTTGAGCACTTGTTTACTTCGATCTAGTGAAGTTTCTCGAATGCCGGTTCTTCACAGCATTTGTTTAGCACTCTAGTTTATGGGAGTGTCAACGGGGCCGGGTTTGGCGCAACGCCAATTCGTTCTCTTCCAATCGTGGATGCCAGCAAGCGGCCGCAATTGATGGGAAGCTGGTTGGCACCGCGCCAACCCAGTCCTCCTGACACGCCATGCGTCGCAGCGTGCAAGACTGTGTCTTGGTTCCATCAGTCTTATAAAGACATACTGACCATGCCCAGAACTCAGAAAGAGCAACCATTCAGTTTTAGAAGTTTCATTACACTTCCTATCACCCTATTAACGAGATCATAACTAGAATTATGCAGCTAATAGAAAGTGTGAGCGAAATCCTCTCCGCTGAAGAGAGCCGCGGATCCGATCCAAGAACGACGGAGAACTTCTTCGTGCGGAAGTCCTGCAAAAGGCCTCTTTATGCAACATTTTCTTGGGACAGTTCCCTTATTCGCAAAGTACCACGAGCAACAAAACTTGAGCTTTAAAATGACTATACTATGACTGTGAGGGGTGGGCATACCTTTTTGTAAAGCCGCAAAGTGCAATTGTACTCTCCGACATTGTCAGCGGAGATGTGTTCGATCCTCAAGTGATGATTTGCGGTTTTCCTCTTGGCCACCTGAACACATACAGAAGTGAGAAGAGAGCAGGTAACAGTGTTGAATAATAGAAAGCACCCACTAGGGAGATTACATTGCTTGGCGCAGTGTGATTGTTAAAATCACATCGTAATTCTTCCATGAGCTTTACTTTTAGCCAATCGAAGATTGTACGAGTTCCCTTCCTTTTGCGTAGAGTACTTCCGATTCGGTGAGATCTACTCCGATCTCTTCTGGAGGATCTGAAACGGTGACACCTGTAAGGGTTGACATTAAAGTTCAAGCGCGGTTGTCGTTTAGGAGGATCAAGTTGTGGCAATGGAGCTATGGAAGCGGTAACACGCACGCGAAC